GCCTCTCTACCTCTTCTCATAGGTTTTCTATGGGGTTAAGGTCGGGTGACTGTTTCGGCCAATTTAAGACTCGAACATCATTTGTGGTAAACCAGCCCCTTACAAGATTCGAAGTATGTTTAGGATCATTATCCTGTTCATAAATAAAACGCAAGGGCATTTTCCACTCTGCATAAGGCATAACATTCTGTAAAATATCGGTATATAAAGCGATACATAATATCATCAACGAAATGTAAGGGACCCATACCATTTAATGAAAAACACCCCCATAAAAACACACTGCCTCCTCCATGCTTAACGGTTGGAGTAACATACCTGGGATTGAATCTTACATTTCGTCGCTAAAAAGTACTTTTCTCCAATCATTTTCTGTCCACCCTAAATGTGTCCGAGCAAATTAAAGCCGCGCAGCTCCGTTCCTGGCTGAAATTTATGGCTTTTTAGCAGGTCTTCTGCTAAAAAGATTTCCTTCAACTAGCCTGTTCTTTCACTTACATTAATTTCAATTTCGGCCCTAGTTCTTGGACTTGGTCATGGATCTGCACGACATGTCAGTTTAATTAACCTGTCAACGTGTGCGAGCCACCTCAAATCGACGTACAATACTCGCATTGTAGGCATTTATTATTCTTTGTTTTAAGTCAGTACTCGTGACAACACCTGTAGGCATTTTAATTAAGATCTCTGTAACGAAAATTTCCGAAAATAAAATAATTAATGATGTAAAAAATAAATAATAAAAATAAATATTAAGTGTTGCCTTACTTTTGACCACTCAAAAAATTAAAATAATCAAAAAACACACAACAAAAAACTAGTATTAATGAAACGCTCATAACTTATGTCATTAAATTGATTAAATTGGTAAAATTTTAATACACTATGTTATTTTACGATCGAAGTTGTAAAACAAAAATTAAGATTTTTAAATTTGCAAAGATTTTATACAAAATTATAGCAAATTAAATCACAAACATTTGTTGTAAATCTAAAACGCTTTTTATATAAAACTGACAAACGGTTTCTATAAAATTACAACGCGTGGATGATTTATACATAGATATCGTACAATTACAACTAATTTTAATATTTTTCCTCACATGTCATGGAAGATTACTCGAATTGTATTATAATTATGTTTTGACATCCTCTGATTGGTAAAACAATTGTAATTTTACTAAAATTGTTTAACAGCCCAAGCAGCAATTTGTGCCCGAACTTGGGCACGACACTTTTTGTTTCCAAATTGTTTTGACAAAAATCGGAAAACTTATGTCTAAATGGAAACTGTATCCATTCTTCAAATTTGTGGTTGCTTTGGGTCGACACCTTTTAAACCAATTGTGTCCAATTGGGTCTAAGTAGCATTATTTCAGAAATATGTGCCCAAGTTGCGTCGCTGTTGTGCCCTCTTGGAAACAGTAACACAATTTGGACTCATTAGGGTCGACTCAATGTTTCCATATTATACCTTATCAATCTGTTTCCATTTTATTACCTAAGTGGACGCAAAAGTTTCCATTTAGCTGCATTTTAGATTCATGGTGTCTGATTTGTTTTAAAAATGTGTGGGGCGGGCGCATTAGGTTTCAAAGGGACACATTAAATACAAATTTTGTCCAGTTTTTCTCTAAATTCTGTCATAATAGACGATTTGTTAGCTAGTAGCAGCTCTTATATAGTGAAAACCGTGTTTAACACACAGTACTACAGAAGTGTGCAAAAAGAAATTCAGCGTAATCAAAAGATGCTCTTTGATTACATCAAGCAGGTAAAAAAACAGATTCATTCAAGAATACCTTGCTAGTAGTAAATAATCAGGAAAATGGTGATTTTACAGCACATGCAAATAAAAGCGAAAGCTCAAATAATTTAGATTGGTGTCCTGAATCAAAGTTTATACAATGTTCTCAGCCAAATGTTTTTGAAACAAATTTTAAAACCGATGACGCCGAATATAATTGAATTGAGGACGTTGATGCAGAGTATACAAAAAAAAGTTTATATACAAAAGTGCTCTTTTAGTTCCACCCTTACTTTTTAAGAAGTCCCATAAGCCAACTGAATGGCTTGTGCGGGTTAGGGGTAGGAACGGACCGCGGGCTTAAAGTCCCCTCCAAAGGACTATTACACAGTAGGACAAACACAAATAAACAGCCATACCCCTGGTGGGATTCGAACTCACGACCTCCGGCTTGTAGTCAGCAGCACTAACCACAGCATAATTTAATTGAGTACGATGATGCAGAACATAATTTAATTTAGGGCGATGATGGCAAGCATAATTTAATTGAGGACGATGATCCAGAACATAATTTAATTGAGGACGATGATGGCGAGCATAGCGAAGAAAACGACCTTGATTCCAAAATGTCATTTACAGGAAGTTTAAAAATCTGGGCGCTTAAAAATAAAATTACCCACGGTGCTTTAAATAAACTCCTTTGCTTGTTAAGACAATCCTCTCATAGTTATCTGCCTAAAGACAGTCGAACTTTGCTTGAAACTTTAGTAAATGTCACTGTTACTCCGATGGGATTATGACAATATTGGTATAATGAGCTAAAATTATGTATTCGAAACCAACTAAAAAAATTTAATTTAGTCGACACATCTCATTTATTACTGAGTTTCAATATTGACGGAATTTAGAAAGGTTGCCTATTGATTTGATAGCTGACTTTCCAGATTCTCTTCATTTAATTGATTTGGTATAGCAAAAAGATGCCTTATTGGCTGGATACAAGGAAGTTACAACTTTAGGACCAAACTCTCGGCCAACGATATAAACTCAATTTCAATTTTACTAAAAGAATGCAACAATCAAATGCCAAAATAAATGCATAGAGCTGTAAGGACTCTCGATTCAATCAAATTTTGGAAGGGTACCGAGTTTAGATCGTTTTTGTTTTATTTGGGTCCAGTTGTATTAAAAGACTTTTTAGCACCTGATATTTATAATCATTTTTTAATGCTTTCATGTGCTGTAACAATTTGCACTTCTAAAAGATTATATATAAAAATTTATCGCAACAAGCCACTAGCGCAAATAGCCAAATGGTTAATTAGTGTCAAAATTGCAATTTTTACCTAAAATTAACAATTTAAAATTTCCATATGTAAAAAACAAGAAAATGGTTTCATGCTGTCCACAAAAAATTGCGATAAATGGTTTCTTACAAACAAAAATGAAATATTTCAAATGATAGATGTTCAGTGCATAGATGGTAAAATATTTATCAGCGGATCTGCAATAACTCAAAAATTTGATTTTTTTAAAGGTCCTTTTAATTCCCCATATATTAATATATATTGTACTTTTTCTAATAAAATATACCAGCCAATAAAAAATATTTCTGTAGATGAGATAAAATGTAAATTAATATCGTTAAAGTACAGAAATGTGTGTCGTACCTAGGCTGGTTATGGCCTTAAGTACTTCACCAAGGCTCCTCTCCGGTTGACTCTCCAGATATAGAGGAATACCTACCTCGGGTTGCTTTTATTCAGTGGAGAAAGTAGGGTTTATAAGAATCACTTAGGGTTGGTGGTTTAATTTAAAATGCAAAAGTAAACTTAAACTGGTTTATTTACCAAGGTAAAAGTATGTACAAAATTATATTAGAATTATATACAGTATTTACAGTATTTACAAAAGTATCGTAGACTTTGCACACAAGGGTTCTTGCATAGCCTTTAATCAGGACAAGCAAATGTTCCAGGGCTTTTCACAGGCAACTGGCAGGCACGGGCGTAGTTTTCAGTCCTACAGAGAGACAGGGCAGATTTGTAATTGGACTCTAGTGGAAAAATACATGTTGTTAGTTTATGTGTTATGCATACAGGATATACAGTTTCATTAACTCTGTTATTAAAGCTTAATATTATACGGCTTAAAGCCCTGTGATATTAAAAACAGGTTAACTTACTGTTAATATTCCACTGAGAGTTCTCTGTGATTTAGTGGTTGGTTTTCGGGCTCACAATTGATAACACCATTTGGAACTTAGCCACCAGACGACTAATTGTCCATTGAAAAATGCAGCGGTTTTATAGACGAAATTCTGATGACAGACTTGATGAAAAACATTTGGGGCCGCGTGCAATAAATCCTTCACACGGGCCGTGTGCAACAATTGTTGACAACCTATAGGTTGACAGCTGTCCAAGCGCCATCTGTTAGAGTTTCGTCTAACTGCAGGTTTCTGGTAGTCCAACTCTTTCCTTGACGTCGGGTAGTTAGGAAATCGTCTCATAGATGTCGTAATGTGTATCGTTACAAATGAGTTTGTTTTCTTACCTTTGATTCATACTGTTTAATTTTATTTGATTAAATAAAAGTAATAAAGATTTGGTCATTATAATTGTGTTTAATTTTAGAACCAAACAAATTCTTCTTAAAAAATTAATGACAAAATAACTAATTATTGTAAACTTTGGCTTCAACTGAAGTTAAATCCAAATTTTGATGCGCACCGTCATCATTAACGGTGTTTTCTATTTTCTACTGGGTTTTTATCGCCAATTTTTCGTTTCTTTTCTCTGAAAATAAAAAAAAATTCAAATCTGTAAAGTTACTAAATAAATTTAGGTGTTTACAATATATACAATCAGAACAAATAAAATATTTTTTTGTATAAATAAATATCTCTATATACCTACATTTCTCTTTTAAGCCTTTGGGAATTTCTTTTGAAAACTTTAAACTGCAGGTATTTTTCGGTAGCCAGCCTAGTGAATTTTTGATCAGCTTTTTTCAAAACTTTGAAGATAAAGGATATTATTTTTTCGTATTTAATAAAAACTGCCGTCGTCGTCCGCCCTCGGTTTTAGCTGTGGAAATTCCCTTCCATGTACATTGGCAAAGAACTGAATTGTTAAATAGCTCACATAATAATCTTGCAGCCAATTTTTACCCATTTTGATTTTCACTCTCTCCTCCAATATTAATAAAATAAGAAAACAGATATTTTAGATTTAATATGTTACTAAAATAACTAGTGAACTTTTTTTACCATTTTTTGTTCAAATTTCTTATTGGATAATTTGTTTTCCAATTCGTCAATTGCTGTGGTATCGTCGAGTGGAAAATTAAATTCTGAAATAATGCCCTCCTTGTTTGCTGCTTTTGCGTCATTTACAGCAATCTCTCTTTCATTATTAGTCCTTCGAAGAACCTCTTGCAATAGAGTTTTTACTTTAGCATTACTTTTAATAAAATAATCTAATTTTACACCTAATGCATCAATCTTACTGTCCATTTTATCAAGTTTTGAAAATAGCGCTAAAAATAAAATAAAATATAAGTATTTAAATTTAATCTATTTGACCCACTCACGTGGAGTAAAGTGCACTAGTTAGGTAAATAAATATTAAAAATAAATTTTTTGTTGTTTTAAATGTTGGTGCTTACCAGAATTACTATTCGTATCCACTTCAATATTTTCACATTGAGGAAATAATGGGTCATCATCATCCATCGATGGAACATCCACCAAAATAATTTCATTATTTTCTAAATAAACGTTATTATTATTATTATTATTGGTCAGTGTTAAATTTCTTGTAGGAGTATCAGTCACTATTGCTTCATTTTGTAATACTATTTCATTTTGCTCATTTTGAACCATCTCAAATTCAGAATTATAATTAAAATTTATTAGCTGTTCTACTTCATTGCAAACATTTTTGCAAAAACGTTTTTTTCTCTTGTTTGTTCATGTATCTTTTTGTTTCTTTCAAATTATCTAAAAAGTAGTTTAGTTTTTACTAGAAAGTTAGGTTAGGTTATTTTTGTAAAAACTTACTCAACCTCTGCATCAGTATCTGATAAGTTTGTATACAGGGCACATAGTTTTTTGGCAGTCATGAGGCTCTCCAGTTTTAGTGATTTTTTACACTTTTCAAAGCTTGCAAACATACGAATTTTTGAATTAAAAAAAATAATCCTAGTATAGATTCTTTGGGAAATTTTATGCTCTACAAGAATCCGCGACGTAAAAAATTGTATCTCAAACGGTTCAAAAGTTATAGTCTTTTTAATGAAAAAAGATTTTTTTACGTGTTATTTCAATGGAAAACTTAGAATGCTCACCGACACCTTTTAAAATTGAGCAAAAAATTTTGCCTTGCAGGGAAATTTTTTGCACGGTATGTAGGTTCATTTTAACCCATAAATCCGATAGGTTTTTTTTTTTGGCTCACCGTAATGGTCATCTATGTTATTAACGTAGATGAGAAACAACAACGGCCCCAAAACACTACCCTGAGGAACTCCGATGTTATTTTTTAATTCCAGAGAACGGGTGTTGCAGTATTCAACATAATGTCTCCTATCATGTAAAAAGCTTTTTATCAGATTATTACATTTACCGCGCATACCATATGACTCAAGTTTACTTAATAAAATCCCATAATCTACACAGTCAAATGCTTTTGATAAATCTACGAATAAGGCCATTACCTTTTCATTTTTGTCTAGATGTTCATATACAAATTTTAAAAATGTTACCAAGGCATAGACTGTCGATGTCTTTGTAAATTAAAACCATGTCTTGTGTTATATGTATGATGTTCATTAAGACTAAAAAATTTTGAAAGGTTCTTTTTAACATAAATAAGTGACTCTAGAATAAACAACAGTATTTTTTTAGAAATAAAGAAAGGCTTACATGACTCTTGAAAACCTATTCCATATATAAATCTAACGGCTCTTTTTTGCAGAATAAAAACATGTTGGACAGAGGTTGAATAGCCCCAGCATATTATTCCATACCTAAGTCTTGACTCAATGTTTGAGTGATAAAAAGCTCTTATGGCTGATGTATTTGCAATATGACAAAGTCGCTTTAAGGCAAATAAATTAGGTGCTAAGGAATTACAAAGATGTTGAATGTGACAGCCCCAATTTAAACTAATATCAATATACAGTCCCAATAACTTGAACTCCGTTACCTAATTGATTGTATTTTTTACTTTTATATATGGACTTTCTTTATAATTTGAGGATATTGGATAAAATTGCAAGGTATTTGTTTTTTCTAAATTCATAAACAATTTATTGTTTAAGAAGTAATTTGACAAGTTGGCAAGTGTTTCATTTACTTTTGATACTAACTCAAACTGATGCTTACTTGATGAGACCGTTGTTATATCATCAGCAAATGCACAAAAAATGAACCGATATGGTCATCTATGTCATTAACGTAGATGAGAAACAACAACGGCCCCAAAACACTACCCTGAGGAACTCCGATGTTATTTTTTAATTCCAGAGAACGGGTGTTACAGTATTCAACATAATGTCTCCTATCATGTAAAAAGCTTTTTATCAGATTATTACATTTACCGCGCAGACCATATGACTCAAGTTTACTTAATAAAATCTCATGATCTACACTGTCAAATGCTTTTGATAAATCCCTTTTCATTTTTGTCTAGATGTTCATATACAAATTTTAAAAATGTTACCAAGGCATAGACTGTCGATGTCTTTGCCCTAAAACCGTACTGATGTGCCGATAATAAATTAATATTATCTAAAAAAGTTATAATTCGTGTAAAAATAATCTTTTCAATAATTTTGGAGAAAATGGAAATCAACGATTTGGGTCGATAGTTTTCAATATTTTATATATATATATATTTTTTTATCGCCTTTCTTGTGAAAACATATAATCTTTGATATTTTTAAACTGTCAGAAAACTCACCGTTGTTAAAACAAGTATTTACTATATTACAAATTGGATAAGAAATTATGTAGCTTACTTTTTTTTATAAGATTTGTAGAAAAACCGTCAGGTCCAGCAGCATTACTATTTTTTAAATTATTAATAATATTACAGGTTTCATTTTCAGTAGCCGGCAAAGGTATATAGAGTTATTTATTTTGCTATTTACATTAAGAGTGCAATTTTTTATATTGTTTACAAGGTTTTTTGGAACGTCGTTAAAATATTTGTTAAACGCATTTGCAATGTTTACATTTTTTTCTTCTTCATAACCGTTTATAAACATACTACCTGATTCTGTTGAAACGTTCTTCTTTAAGTTTGTGTTTATAATTTTCCAAACAGTTTAACTTTTATTTTTAGAGTTCTCTATAAGTCTACTATAGTATAGTTTTTTTGATAGTCTTAATAATTTAGAATAAATTCTTTTATAAGTCTTATAATAATTTTCATCAACACGTCCAAACATTTGTTTTAACCGTAATGATGAAACTTTTAGACCGCGAGTAAACCATGGTGCGTTTATTCTGGTAGGATTGGAAAGCTTAGTTTATAATAGTAAGTAATAATATTAAGAAATACCTCTGTTGTTAACAGTAAATTCTTTAAATACATCTGACCAATTTTCATAAAAGTCAATGTTAGCATTACTAAAGAAACGTGATTTTAATTTAGTTTTATTGATTTTGTTAAGAAAATTGAATTGAATTTTTTGTGCTGTATGATCAGACAGGTTTAGACCTAAAATTTCAGTGTTTGTTAATTCATCGTTAAAGTTGGTAAATATATAGTCAATGGCGGTATTTGAATGTCTTGTTATTCTAGTAGGTTCATTAAAAACAGATAATAGATTATACGATTTTGTCAAATCCAGTAATTTATTGGATTCAGCAGATATAACCAATTTGTTTATGTTTAAGTTTAAGTCCCCGCATATTACAAATTTATGTATGTTTTCACTGAATAAAATATCTAAACACATCTCAAATCTCTCAAAAAATTGTTTCATATTATAATTCGGTGCTCTATAAATACAAGCGAAAACATAGTTGATTTTGTTCAATGAAATTTTAATCGATGCACATTCAAAATCTTTTTCGACACATAATTTGGAAAGATCGATAACAGAGTATGGTATATTATTTTTTGCTATTATAGCAACACCACCATGAATATAACTTGACCTGCAAAAACTACTAACAATATTATAGCCCTCAAAATTTATACACTGTATTTCATTTTGCTTAATCCAAGTTTCACTTATACACATTACATCAATATTTTCTTTCAAAAGAAATATCTCTATTTCTTCTATTTTATTTCTTAGGCACTGTACATTTAGGTGTATCATTGTAAAATTGAAGGGCTCGCCTTCCCTTATTTGCTACAAATTATAGTTAATTTTAGATTTTAATGTATTTACAAGGCTTAAGTATGAGGGACAATTATTATCGTTTGCACAATGATTTGAGTTTTGATTTGTTTTAAACTTTTCGTTAAAATGTATACAGTTTACACATTTTTTTATACTTTTATTGCAATTTGATGAATTATGATTACCAGCACATATACTACAAGAAAAATGATCTTTTTCCAAATTACACTCCTTTGCGATATGACCAAACAAATTACATTTAAAACATCTGACAATATTGAAGCTTTCAGACAAAAAACATTTTCTAAATCCTACAAACACATACCCAATTAACATTAGGTTTGTGAATGTTTTAGAATCAAGTTCCATTATAATATGCATTACTTTAGAATTATTAGGTTTAATTAGTTTAACGACACGAAAATGTAGATTATAACTTTTTAAACGATTCTGTTCAATAATATTACTAACTAATTGTTCATTTGTTAAATCATTTAGTTCTTCATTAAAAATCTTGATCCTTGGTTGTAGTTTTTCGGGTACTTTAACGGAAAAGTTGTTACCAATTTTGTCTTCAATTTGCACTTTTACAGCTTCTAATTTATCTTTGCTTTCCAATCTAAGTATCATTTTCCCATCCTTTGATTTTTTAATATCTACTATTTCTGGACCAAGTTGAACTGGATATATTAATTGTCTGACAGTTTCAATTCCGGTATTAGTATTTTTGCTTTCAATGACCAGTACAGCTGAATCTTTTTTTGCAATGTCGGCAAATGTCATATACTTACCATACCGCTTATTGCCTATATTTTGAATAAATGACCTTGTTCCCGTTTTTAAGGGGAGGGTGGCTACTCTCTACCTTTTGCGCACGGTCAGTTCAAAAGTGGGAGATTAAAAAATCAATAATGTTTGTTGGTTATGAATAAATACAAATGTCAGTTTAGGAATTTAGGTTATTTTGGAAAAATATTAAAGAACTAGTTTAAACATCCGAAAAGTGGCATAAAATCATTACTTTGTCATAAAAATAGAGAGGATAATAATATGACTTTAATTGTGTTTAATTATTCTTTAGGCATACAAAAATTAGGATATTTGTAAGAGTTTTTAAACCTACCCATCTAAGCATAGATAAAAGGATCTAGGATTTAAGGGCGATATATAGGATTGGTTACATTAGTGCTGTTGTAGTGTTTTAAAAAAGTAAAGTTTTGCTGTAATAGTTAAACTAATAATTATTGTGCGATTAGTACAAATTATTTAAATAGTTTATACAAAATAGCACCAGAAACTGGAAGTTGCAGAAAAATTGTTAACAGCTATAAGGAAAGTCACAAAATCCCAACTCCTTTACGAGATTATTAATATTTCTAATATCCCCACACCCACACACGAACTTGTTCATAGATTTAGAGCATTAATTTGGGAGACAAATAAAGATAAAGCAATAAACCAATCCCCACCTTGTTGGAAATATTAAAGGAATAACTCTCCTTTTAATTTTTACAAATATATATATATATATATATACAGGGTGTCCCAAAAGTCAACAATATCCTTTGAAGGACTAATAGGTCAGCTCATGACTAATCAGAATATCAAAACATGACCTTAGTAAAAAATCATTCGAAAAAGGGATCTAAGGTGTCAAGTTTTACAAGGTCATATTTTAATTTTCTGCTTGGTCATGAGTTGGTCTATCAGTCCTCCAAAGGATATCGTTGACTTTTGGGACACCCTGTATATGTTTATACATATTAAACCAATAGAGATTTTTATTTTAGAGAATTTTTAATAATAATCAGTTAAACTAATCAAATAAGTTAAAAATTTAAAAAATAATAATTTGAACCACTTATTCGAATATTCAAGTTCAACATTCATAACTTTTTGTGGTTTTACTAATCCTCAGACAATTTATAATGTTTTTCTTGTAATTTTTTATTGATATTGAATTTTTATAAATAATTTTGATTAAATTTTGCTCATTAAGTAGCAAATATCTTTAAACTTAAATGTTTTGGGAATGTGATTTTATGGATTAGACAACTTGTGTATAGTTAGTTGGATTTAAAAGTAAATAAAAGTCAGTTTTACCTATTAATTATATTATATTTTAATTCCATATAGGAAACAAATATTTACATAGTAAAAACATAATTAATTAATCTTAAAAAGAAATACCTAGCAATAACAAATAAACATAAGTATTCAAGTATAAGATTTATTAATAATATATATATTAATATTTATAAATCTTATACTTATAAAATATACAGGGTGAAATAACTCAAATTAATGTCTCTTTTGGTAAAATAAAAGGGAGTTTTGATTGAATGTTTATCCCAAAAAATAGATGACAAGGCAACTTTGTTTTATAATCCACCCTGTATATTTAATACAAAACTTGGTACCATACAAACGATCTGATACCAAAATAAATAGAAAACATAATAAAAAAGTAAAACAATAGGACCCCCCTACAAAATCTTAATTTGAAGAAATACTAAAAATATAAATATATACATGATTTTTGAAGAAAATTATTTTTGTTAATTTACTTCGTAGGGAAACATTTTCACCTACTTTATTTTGTTCATAGTGAGTCCTTAAATCGACATACTTGGAAATGATTAATTTTATTAATTCTCTTCTGTGGTTATCCAGTATGCTTTGAGTGGCAATGTGTTTACTCATTTCATAATCATTAAAAACATTTATATCCCCTAGGACCTGACTAATAATGAAATTTTTGGAATAGTTTATTTTGGATCCTTTTATTTGTCTTATAATCCTTTCTGAAAATTTACAAATTTTTATAACATCCTTTGCAGGATATACAAAAGGACCTCTATATTTTAGTTTGATTAGTATACTTAGTTTTTCCCCCAACATTTTTTTTTTACAAAATGTACAACTTATTGAGTTTTGTACTTGTTTTACAACATATCCAGCAATGTACTCCACTACATCTTCAACATAGCTGGATAGCTGTCATTTTCTTTTTCTTTTTTTACTTCTTCACATAAAGTATCTGTATATTTATTTGACAATGTAAGAATTTTTACAAAGTTTGCTTCACAATTCCCGTTTTCAAAAGATTTAACTTCATTGTGTACCAAAAGTCTCTTATATGCAGTTGAAAATTGCAGAGCATTTGGGTTATTATTAAAGCCCCCCTGCTTCTAATTTTTACAAAAAATGTTTCTAAGTGGTCTTGGCTTAGTTTAAATGTTAAAAGATACTCCATACAATTTTTTTTAAGTCGATAAACAAAGGAAAAATATTTGTTAAACAAATTATTAACCCAACAAATCCCGTTTTCCTTTGCGATTCTATTAATTTAAAACCATTTTAAAATTTTAGGTTGGATAAATATTTTATGTAAGTTAAGAAACTTTTTTTAGGTAATTAAAATTTTCTTCATTGACACATATATTGTGACTTTTAGACTTATAAAATTTATACCTGGTATTAAGTATATCAAAGATGTTATTAATTATTAAAGCAAACTTAGCAGTTGGCATTGCATTTTTAAAACTTGGGTAGTTTTTTGTGTTCAAATAAATTAATGCACAATGCACAGACTCACTAAGGACCTTAGCAGCAAGTCTAACCCTCATTTTGTTTTGCTCAAACTGAATATGTTTTGCCGATATTTTGCAGGCTAAATGAAGGCCTTCTTTTTTTTGAATCTCATTTAGATCAACAATATGTTGCCACATTATTTCCCCATTATCCTCATCCTGAAATTCTTTTAATTCTCCAATTGCATTTCTGACAAGCTTTAGCATATGACATGCATCATAAAAGACATACACATTAAAAGAGTTTATCGGATGAGGAAAATAGGGTTTAAACTGGGCACCCTAAGCATTTTGCCATTGCAATGTTAACACTGGCTCCATCGAAACAAATCGACTGACACACCACATTAGCATTATGAAGCAGTGATAAGCAATGGTTGAGCAAATTGGCTCTTTCAGAGGCATTTAAAGAGTGGATCAAAAAGTAACCAATTGGTGTTTTACAATGGTCCAATAGGTCCACAGCCATAAACACCAAAGCACTTGTTGCTAATTGGCAAGTCTCTGTTGGCTGGTCACTGGTTCCCAAATTAATGTATCCAAGTAATTTCCCACCTTTATATAACGCCTGGCGTCTAATTGACATTTCATCCAGTGTAACATTTACTATGATCTTCTTTTTTTTTATTTTTCTTTCAATAAAGCAAATGCTTCTTGGGTAAAGCCTGGTTCTCCATCTACCACAGTGTACCACCGTCTAAGTGTTGATGGATGGGGAAGCAAGTTCTTCCAACAACTTCTTACATATTCATAAGCTTTTGATGAATAAAATTGAAGTGTTAAAGCAAAAGTTCTCAATTTTGGCGAATATTTTGATTTTTTTAATTTAATTTTCTTATCAATTAGCTCTCTGATTATTGCAGGAGTTCTTTCCTATTAGTAAAATCACAAAATTAATTAAAATAATGTTTTCAAAAAGTTTGTTAAAAAACTAAACCATAAAATATATATACTTGATTTGAGGTGGAACATGCCAAAACAAAGTTTTGGTACCTCTTTTTAGGAAAAAATCAATTAATCATGAAACTGCAATTACCACAACTGTTTGTTATAAAATATGCTATAATTTTTTGGTCTAAATTCTATATATGATGATATAGTTAGTTTAAAATATGCTATACTTTTATGGTCTAAATTCTATATATGATCTTTTATATATCCCTATAAAGGAACAAAACCAATCATACCATTAATGAATTGCCACAGTCTTCACTTATTAATGCTTTTCTTTTTAACTCCTCAATTAATTTATTCATAGAAGAAATACGCTTAAGAAGACGTCTTTTATCCTGTTGTAGCTTTTTAATCTTGTATCTTAATTGCTTTTGAACAAAATCACAATTTTTTTTGGAATTTGGGGTAGAGTCCTCAGGCATCTCTCTTTTTTTTTGTTCAACAGCTTGAAGTGTATTGCCCATGTCACATGTCAGAGGCATCACACTGAGAGGCATTTCTTTATAATCTGTGATTTCAGCTTTTATTTCATAATTTGTCTCATTAAATTCACACTTTAATGATTTATCAGCAGCTTCCTGTTAATCCTGAAATAAATTAAATAAAATTAATTAATTGTTTAATTCTGCCATTGCAGTTGATATGTAACCTCCATTACTGTGTTAGTTGCCAATATCTTATGAAAAGCTAATTTGTACTTGACGTTTCTTGTAATCTTTATTACACTAAATAAATATTATTATTATTATTATTATTACATACATTTTTTTGAAATGCAGTGGAGGTTACACATTACCTGGAGTAGGGTTAAATTGTATTAATTTTTTATTAAAGTTCGTGTATTTATTTGGAATTTGACACATTTGATTATGTTGGTATTGTTTGTTAATATACTTTGTTTTTTTAATACTTATAAGTATAAGTACTTATAAGGGCTTGAACAGGAGTACCAATTTTATAAAATTGGTACTCCTGTTCAAGCCCTTAATTTTAAATAACATTTCGTCACCTGAGAATTATAGTTTTCTATCTGCATTTTTTTTTAAATTGAGGTTAGTCTTAAGCCTCAAACTGTACAATTTCTACCCCAATTATATATAGATAGAACAATATGCATCTTTAAGACTTAAAACAAGACTAACCTCGATTAAAAAAAAATGCAGATAGAACACTATAATTCTCAGGTGACGATTTGTCATTTAACTGTAATAATTATAATAAACATATTCTACATGTGATACACATTATTTGTACTCTTTGACATTTTAAAATCTATAAACATACTCTTAAAATTATAACATAACCACAATACTCAATGTAGACAATTATAAATTTCGGGACCCTAGAATTTTCCAAATAAACCCCCAAATTTTTGGGAGAGGCATTTCAGCTTTTATTTCATAATTTGTCTCATTAAATTCATTCTTTAATGTTTTATCAGCATTTCCTGTTGATTCTGAAATTAAAAAAATTTAATTGATTAATTTATTCTGCCATTCTGAGTGATGTATTATCCCTATAACCACATGATGTATTGTGCCTACAGCTATGTTAGTTGTCAATATCTTTTTATATTTTAATATTTTTTTTGCAGTACACATCACCTGAATTGGTCAAAGCATTAACGATTAAAACTTAATTAGGTATATTAATTTTTCATTAGTAACAAGTCATATGTACATTACCTGGACAATGAATATTATTGGGAGAAGCATTTTCCTTATTATGAGGCAGATATAAGGTAGGAATTGCACCAGATTTTAAGTATTTATTTTGAGGAAATAAATAATCATCTGGATTAAAATGTTTTGAGCAGATATTAATACGTGTGGTAACATCGTCCTCAATATATCCACATGCTGCTTTCCACAAAGCTGCTAGATTAGGATCTTTGGGAAATCTAAAATAATAAAGTAGTTTTAATAACTCAGATATAAATCATAAAATTAGAATTTTAATTAGGTATTGTCTTTAAATCAATAGCTATAGGTATACTACTAAAGTTTTTTAGTTTTACTTACCTATGTAAAAGAACTCCATTAATCCTTTTGGAATTGCACAATCCACAACGTTGTACCATTTTAATTAATACAAAATTAAACTGAACTAAAAACAGTTCAAAACAACGATAAAGAAGCTTAAAAATCACGTAAAAGCACAAAACGAAGTAAACAATGGAAAACGAAGCCAAAAAGTAAACCAAGATGGTTGATTATAAGCTTCTCGCTTGGGTAATAAAATGTGACGTAGCCAAATTTCTAATGCTAAACAACATTTTTATAAAATTAAAAAAATATTACCTACTTATTTTTATTATTAATACTTAAAAACATCATTAATATAATTTTTTATAAATTTTGATACATAACATAATTTATAAGCTTTATAATAACGAAAATAATATTAGAATATAATTACACTGACAACACGGCCCCACGCATGTGTAAAACTGCATAAGTAGCTAGCTCCTACTTTAACCCCACGAAAAGGAAACAGCCTGAATCCAAAATGATCTGTATATGTGTGGTAAGTATATGGCAAATGTTGGTTTACGCGACATCTGTTGCTTGGTAGCGAAGATTGGATTATTGTTTAAATTATTTGATTTATTTTCTACTTGACAAATATTTCTATATTGTTCATCGCAATCCTTTAACCTTAATTTTAATAATATATTACTTGTCTCCATTTCATTGTTTAATTTCTTCAACAAATCTAACTCCAACTTTGATGATTCAACACTGCCCATTCCGGCTTTTACACTCTTTGATTCACACGATTTGCATAACCAATCATTTTTATTGAGTTTTACATACTTTGAAAAGGCTTCAAAACATTTTTTGTGAACGTTTGTGAAGTTATCTGGCAGCTAGAACACTTAACACTTGACTTGTAGTTTGCACCACATAAGTCACACTTATTTCCACTTTTTTGGCTTTTAATCGACTCATTATCTGAAACATTATCACCTTCCACCATCTTGTATACTTATGATACTATTCCATTTTTAATGCACGTGTAAGGCTGGGACTTAGGGCACTTGAAATTATACTCGTAATATCTTGCTTCTGTTGAAATGTTGGCTTTTCAAATAAAAGGACTTGTTCACTTTTGTATCTATAATTTATTTAAGTGTCTTTGTACCCAGGCTACATAATATAGACTGTCGAAAGCTATTCCTAATTAGTAACTAACCAATTAATAAAGTAGTGGGAATAAACTGCCAAATATACAATATTTGCAGTTCATTACCTTATGTTTAATACACTTACAAAATACCTAATTTCTAAGTTCGACAAACGAAGGAATTCGCTGAGCTATACACTACACTTCCTTTGGTAAAAAAAGAAATAATGTTCTTCCCAGAAGTAAATTATTTTGCTTTATTTACATTAGCCTAACTAACCTATCCTAACATTAAAATGCTTCTTATCTTACACTACGTATAACTTAGTTATATTTTTATGCACCGTAATGTTTTTACCATTTTTATTTATTTCTACATTAGGTGAACAATCTTGAATCACTGTATAAGGTCCATCGTAGAGTTCACTTAGCTTATTTCCTCACTTTTTACTAACACTAAATCGTCTGTTTTATACGTCACAGGATTTTTTACTTTATCGTATTCATCTTTTCTTTTCACTTTACTTATAACTAAATTATTTCTTGCATCCAGTTGTGCACGCTGTAACCTATACCTTAACTCTAATGGATAATTATCTACATTGTATAGAGGATAACAATTATTGGTCAAATTTGTTGGTAACTTACATTGTCTTTCGAAAACTAACTCATATGGAGTGTATTTAGTTTCGGAATGAACAGTTGTATTAAACGAAAAGCACCAAAAAAGTATCCAATCGATCCAACTTGAATTGTATTTTTGACACATTATTCGGAGAAATGCACCCAAACTTTTATGTGAATTTTCGAGTGCACCAATACTCTGATGATGGTACGCTGTGCTAAATAATTGCTTTATGTGCAACAACTTAGCAGTTTCCTGCATAATTGTTGACGTAAACTCTGTGCCTCTATCTGTACCTAATTCTTTGGGAATTCCATATTTTAAAACGAAATTATTGACCAATGTTTCAGCGACTGCACAAGCATCTTTCGATTGCAGTGGGTACGCTTCTATGAAATTGGTTAATTCGCACTGAAGAGTCAAAATATATAGGTTATTTTTATGATCCTTATCTAAATTTTTTTCAAATGCTGTATGAGCTGTTGATGTTACTACTATGGGTTCCCTTGTGTATCTGTTAGTATGTTTATTTCTTTGACAACTATCGCATTTTTTGATAAAGTTTGTAACGTCGTTTAACAATCCTGGCCAAATATACTTTTTTTTATGTTATTTACCATTCGATGGGTTCCTGCATGACCGCTACTTGGAAGTATATGAAAGTCATTAAGTATTACTTTTTTAGTGTCACCGTTTGTTACTTGTTTTACTCCTTTAACTATACAAATTCGTGGACCGGTCCAATTAACTTATTTCTTTAGAGTAACTATTAAATTTTTAATAAACATATCATTTTCTTTACTTTTTAATATTATTAATTCCGGAATTTTCATTTTATTACAAATAATATCTAAATCTCTCAACAATTCGCTTAGCGGTAGTGCCGATCGAGTTTTTGCATTTAGATATATTGTGGATAATGACGGTACATAAACGACACTTTTATCTTTACTATACACATGTTCAAATTCATTAAAATAATTATTACTTCCATTATAAAATACTAATTCAACAACGGCGCTTTTAGAATTTCTACTACTTTTGGGTGATCAGGCCAAACATTAGCAGAAGTTCTGTCATTTTGGTCATACCGGAATATCTTTTAGTTCGCTGGATGTAATTTTAATTCTAGATAATGCGTCTGCCGTTACGTTATCTCTGCCTTTTACACCTTCCACTTGAAAGTCATATTCCTCTAAACAAAGACGAAACTTAGTCAGTCTACTCGACGGACTTTTATGATTAAATAAATACAACAATGGCCTATGATTAGTAAACAATTTAAACCGTTTTCCATAAAGGTACGGTCTAAAATGTTTTACTGCCCAAACTATTGCCAATAATTCTTTTTTGATTGTAGCATAATTAAGTTCCGCTTTGTTTAATGCGCGACTAGCATAAGAAACTGGTATGTTGTTTTGGTTTGATAAAATTGCACCGATAGCAATACCAGAAGCGTCGGTTTGTAAATGAAATGTATTATTTTCTGATAAATCCGGATACTGAAACACCGGAGGATTTATTAAAGCATTTATTAAATACTCTAACGCTTTTTGACAATCCATTGACCACTGAAAATCGCTATCTTTTTTTGTTAACTTATTCAAAGGTACTGTTATTTCTGCAAATTTAGGAATGTATTTACGATAGTAGTTGGTAAAAGCCACAAATCTTTTAACCTCGTCCGGAGTTTTTGGTACTGAGTAATTCTGCAATACTTAAGTTTTTCCCGGATCTGGTAAAATACCACCCCCAGCAATAATATGTCCTAGATAAAGTATTTCTTTTTTTTTAGAAAATCGCATTTATATGCGATAATATTTTATGTAAGTTAAGAAACTTTTTTTAGGTAATTAAAATTTTCTTCATTGACACATATATTGTGACTTTTAGACTTATAAAATTTATACCTGGTATTAAGTATATCAAAGATGTTATTAATTATTAAAGCAAACTTAGCAGTTGGCATTGCATTTTTAAAACTTGGGTAGTTTTTTGTGTTCAAATAAATTAATGCACAATGCACAGACTCACTAAGGACCTTAGCAGCAAGTCTAACCCTCATTTTGTTTTGCTCAAACTGAATATGTTTTGCCGATATTTTGCAGGCTAAATGAAGGCCTTCTTTTTTTTGAATCTCATTTAGATCAACAATATGTTGCCACATTATTTCCCCATTATCCTCATCCTGAAATTCTTTTAATTCTCCAATTGCATTTCTGACAAGCTTTAGCATATGACATGCATCATAAAAGACATACACATTAAAAGAGTTTATCGGATGAGGAAAATAGGGTTTAAACTGGGCACCCTAAGCATTTTGCCATTGCAATGTTAACACTGGCTCCATCGAAACAAATCGACTGACACACCACATTAGCATTATGAAGCAGTGATAAGCAATGGTTGAGCAAATTGGCTCTTTCAGAGGCATTTAAAGAGTGGATCAAAAAGTAACCAATTGGTGTTTTACAATGGTCCAATAGGTCCACAGCCATAAACACCAAAGCACTTGTTGCTAATTGGCAAGTCTCTGTTGGCTGGTCACTGGTTCCCAAATTAATGTATCCAAGTAATTTCCCACCTTTATATAACGCCTGGCGTCTAATTGACATTTCATCCAGTGTAACATTTACTATGATCTTCTTTTTTTTTATTTTTCTTTCAATAAAGCAAATGCTTCTTGGGTAAAGCCTGGTTCTCCATCTACCACAGTGTACCACCGTCTAAGTGTTGATGGATGGGGAAGCAAGTTCTTCCAACAACTTCTTACATATTCATAAGCTTTTGATGAATAAAATTGAAGTGTTAAAGCAAAAGTTCTCAATTTTGGCGAATATTTTGATTTTTTTAATTTAATTTTCTTATCAATTAGCTCTCTGATTATTGCAGGAGTTCTTTCCTATTAGTAAAATCACAAAATTAATTAAAATAATGTTTTCAAAAAGTTTGTTAAAAAACTAAACCATAAAATATATATACTTGATTTGAGGTGGAACATGCCAAAACAAAGTTTTGGTACCTCTTTTTAGGAAAAAATCAATTAATCATGAAACTGCAATTACCACAACTGTTTGTTATAAAATATGCTATAATTTTTTGGTCTAAATTCTATATATGATGATATAGTTAGTTTAAAATATGCTATACTTTTATGGTCTAAATTCTATATATGATCTTTTATATATCCCTATAAAGGAACAAAACCAATCATACCATTAATGAATTGCCACAGTCTTCACTTATTAATGCTTTTCTTTTTAACTCCTCAATTAATTTATTCATAGAAGAAATACGCTTAAGAAGACGTCTTTTATCCTGTTGTAGCTTTTTAATCTTGTATCTTAATTGCTTTTGAACAAAATCACAATTTTTTTTGGAATTTGGGGTAGAGTCCTCAGGCATCTCTCTTTTTTTTTGTTCAACAGCTTGAAGTGTATTGCCCATGTCACATGTCAGAGGCATCACACTGAGAGGCATTTCTTTATAATCTGTGATTTCAGCTTTTATTTCATAATTTGTCTCATTAAATTCACACTTTAATGATTTATCAGCAGCTTCCTGTTAATCCTGAAATAAATTAAATAAAATTAATTAATTGTTTAATTCTGCCATTGCAGTTGATATGTAACCTCCATTACTGTGTTAGTTGCCAATATCTTATGAAAAGCTAATTTGTACTTGACGTTTCTTGTAATCTTTATTACACTAAATAAATATTATTATTATTATTATTATTACATACATTTTTTTGAAATGCAGTGGAGGTTACACATTACCTGGAGTAGGGTTAAATTGTATTAATTTTTTATTAAAGTTCGTGTATTTATTTGGAATTTGACACATTTGATTATGTTGGTATTGTTTGTTAATATACTTTGTTTTTTTAATACTTATAAGTATAAGTACTTATAAGGGCTTGAACAGGAGTACCAATTTTATAAAATTGGTACTCCTGTTCAAGCCCTTAATTTTAAATAACATTTCGTCACCTGAGAATTATAGTTTTCTATCTGCATTTTTTTTTAAATTGAGGTTAGTCTTAAGCCTCAAACTGTACAATTTCTACCCCAATTATATATAGATAGAACAATATGCATCTTTAAGACTTAAAACAAGACTAACCTCGATTAAAAAAAAATGCAGATAGAACACTATAATTCTCAGGTGACGATTTGTCATTTAACTGTAATAATTATAATAAACATATTCTACATGTGATACACATTATTTGTACTCTTTGACATTTTAAAATCTATAAACATACTCTTAAAATTATAACATAACCACAATACTCAATGTAGACAATTATAAATTTCGGGACCCTAGAATTTTCCAAATAAACCCCCAAATTTTTGGGAGAGGCATTTCAGCTTTTATTTCATAATTTGTCTCATTAAATTCATTCTTTAATGTTTTATCAGCATTTCCTGTTGATTCTGAAATTAAAAAAATTTAATTGATTAATTTATTCTGCCATTCTGAGTGATGTATTATCCCTATAACCACATGATGTATTGTGCCTACAGCTATGTTAGTTGTCAATATCTTTTTATATTTTAATATTTTTTTTGCAGTACACATCACCTGAATTGGTCAAAGCATTAACGATTAAAACTTAATTAGGTATATTAATTTTTCATTAGTAACAAGTCATATGTACATTACCTGGACAATGAATATTATTGGGAGAAGCATTTTCCTTATTATGAGGCAGATATAAGGTAGGAATTGCACCAGATTTTAAGTATTTATTTTGAGGAAATAAATAATCATCTGGATTAAAATGTTTTGAGCAGATATTAATACGTGTGGTAACATCGTCCTCAATATATCCACATGCTGCTTTCCACAAAGCTGCTAGATTAGGATCTTTGGGAAATCTAAAATAATAAAGTAGTTTTAATAACTCAGATATAAATCATAAAATTAGAATTTTAATTAGGTATTGTCTTTAAATCAATAGCTATAGGTATACTACTAAAGTTTTTTAGTTTTACTTACCTATGTAAAAGAACTCCATTAATCCTTTTGGAATTGCACAATCCACAACGTTGTACCATTTTAATTAATACAAAATTAAACTGAACTAAAAACAGTTCAAAACAACGATAAAGAAGCTTAAAAATCACGTAAAAGCACAAAACGAAGTAAACAATGGAAAACGAAGCCAAAAAGTAAACCAAGATGGTTGATTATAAGCTTCTCGCTTGGGTAATAAAATGTGACGTAGCCAAATTTCTAATGCTAAACAACATTTTTATAAAATTAAAAAAATATTACCTACTTATTTTTATTATTAATACTTAAAAACATCATTAATATAATTTTTTATAAATTTTGATACATAACATAATTTATAAGCTTTATAATAACGAAAATAATATTAGAATATAATTACACTGACAACACGGCCCCACGCATGTGTAAAACTGCATAAGTAGCTAGCTCCTACTTTAACCCCACGAAAAGGAAACAGCCTGAATCCAAAATGATCTGTATATGTGTGGTAAGTATATGGCAAATGTTGGTTTACGCGACATCTGTTGCTTGGTAGCGAAGATTGGATTATTGTTTAAATTATTTGATTTATTTTCTACTTGACAAATATTTCTATATTGTTCATCGCAATCCTTTAACCTTAATTTTAATAATATATTACTTGTCTCCATTTCATTGTTTAATTTCTTCAACAAATCTAACTCCAACTTTGATGATTCAACACTGCCCATTCCGGCTTTTACACTCTTTGATTCACACGATTTGCATAACCAATCATTTTTATTGAGTTTTACATACTTTGAAAAGGCTTCAAAACATTTTTTGTGAACGTTTGTGAAGTTATCTGGCAGCTAGAACACTTAACACTTGACTTGTAGTTTGCACCACATAAGTCACACTTATTTCCACTTTTTTGGCTTTTAATCGACTCATTATCTGAAACATTATCACCTTCCACCATCTTGTATACTTATGATACTATTCCATTTTTAATGCACGTGTAAGGCTGGGACTTAGGGCACTTGAAATTATACTCGTAATATCTTGCTTCTGTTGAAATGTTGGCTTTTCAAATAAAAGGACTTGTTCACTTTTGTATCTATAATTTATTTAAGTGTCTTTGTACCCAGGCTACATAATATAGACTGTCGAAAGCTATTCCTAATTAGTAACTAACCAATTAATAAAGTAGTGGGAATAAACTGCCAAATATACAATATTTGCAGTTCATTACCTTATGTTTAATACACTTACAAAATACCTAATTTCTAAGTTCGACAAACGAAGGAATTCGCTGAGCTATACACTACACTTCCTTTGGTAAAAAAAGAAATAATGTTCTTCCCAGAAGTAAATTATTTTGCTTTATTTACATTAGCCTAACTAACCTATCCTAACATTAAAATGCTTCTTATCTTACACTACGTATAACTTAGTTATATTTTTATGCACCGTAATGTTTTTACCATTTTTATTTATTTCTACATTAGGTGAACAATCTTGAATCACTGTATAAGGTCCATCGTAGAGTTCACTTAGCTTATTTCCTCACTTTTTACTAACACTAAATCGTCTGTTTTATACGTCACAGGATTTTTTACTTTATCGTATTCATCTTTTCTTTTCACTTTACTTATAACTAAATTATTTCTTGCATCCAGTTGTGCACGCTGTAACCTATACCTTAACTCTAATGGATAATTATCTACATTGTATAGAGGATAACAATTATTGGTCAAATTTGTTGGTAACTTACATTGTCTTTCGAAAACTAACTCATATGGAGTGTATTTAGTTTCGGAATGAACAGTTGTATTAAACGAAAAGCACCAAAAAAGTATCCAATCGATCCAACTTGAATTGTATTTTTGACACATTATTCGGAGAAATGCACCCAAACTTTTATGTGAATTTTCGAGTGCACCAATACTCTGATGATGGTACGCTGTGCTAAATAATTGCTTTATGTGCAACAACTTAGCAGTTTCCTGCATAATTGTTGACGTAAACTCTGTGCCTCTATCTGTACCTAATTCTTTGGGAATTCCATATTTTAAAACGAAATTATTGACCAATGTTTCAGCGACTGCACAAGCATCTTTCGATTGCAGTGGGTACGCTTCTATGAAATTGGTTAATTCGCACTGAAGAGTCAAAATATATAGGTTATTTTTATGATCCTTATCTAAATTTTTTTCAAATGCTGTATGAGCTGTTGATGTTACTACTATGGGTTCCCTTGTGTATCTGTTAGTATGTTTATTTCTTTGACAACTATCGCATTTTTTGATAAAGTTTGTAACGTCGTTTAACAATCCTGGCCAAATATACTTTTTTTTATGTTATTTACCATTCGATGGGTTCCTGCATGACCGCTACTTGGAAGTATATGAAAGTCATTAAGTATTACTTTTTTAGTGTCACCGTTTGTTACTTGTTTTACTCCTTTAACTATACAAATTCGTGGACCGGTCCAATTAACTTATTTCTTTAGAGTAACTATTAAATTTTTAATAAACATATCATTTTCTTTACTTTTTAATATTATTAATTCCGGAATTTTCATTTTATTACAAATAATATCTAAATCTCTCAACAATTCGCTTAGCGGTAGTGCCGATCGAGTTTTTGCATTTAGATATATTGTGGATAATGACGGTACATAAACGACACTTTTATCTTTACTATACACATGTTCAAATTCATTAAAATAATTATTACTTCCATTATAAAATACTAATTCAACAACGGCGCTTTTAGAATTTCTACTACTTTTGGGTGATCAGGCCAAACATTAGCAGAAGTTCTGTCATTTTGGTCATACCGGAATATCTTTTAGTTCGCTGGATGTAATTTTAATTCTAGATAATGCGTCTGCCGTTACGTTATCTCTGCCTTTTACACCTTCCACTTGAAAGTCATATTCCTCTAAACAAAGACGAAACTTAGTCAGTCTACTCGACGGACTTTTATGATTAAATAAATACAACAATGGCCTATGATTAGTAAACAATTTAAACCGTTTTCCATAAAGGTACGGTCTAAAATGTTTTACTGCCCAAACTATTGCCAATAATTCTTTTTTGATTGTAGCATAATTAAGTTCCGCTTTGTTTAATGCGCGACTAGCATAAGAAACTGGTATGTTGTTTTGGTTTGATAAAATTGCACCGATAGCAATACCAGAAGCGTCGGTTTGTAAATGAAATGTATTATTTTCTGATAAATCCGGATACTGAAACACCGGAGGATTTATTAAAGCATTTATTAAATACTCTAACGCTTTTTGACAATCCATTGACCACTGAAAATCGCTATCTTTTTTTGTTAACTTATTCAAAGGTACTGTTATTTCTGCAAATTTAGGAATGTATTTACGATAGTAGTTGGTAAAAGCCACAAATCTTTTAACCTCGTCCGGAGTTTTTGGTACTGAGTAATTCTGCAATACTTAAGTTTTTCCCGGATCTGGTAAAATACCACCCCCAGCAATAATATGTCCTAGATAAAGTATTTCTTTTTTTTTAGAAAATCGCATTTATCAGGGTTTAATTTTAAATTTACTTTTCTGAGTCAAATACAGTAATTAAATTTTTATTGTGATCGTGAAGATTTTTACCAAAAACTATTAAGTCATCAAGATACACTAAACAATTTTCATAATTTAGGCCTGATAAAGCGACTGTCATAACACGAGAAAAACTACTAGGACTAATTTTTAGCCCCATTGGTAGTCTTTTCATCCGGTATTGCCCCTTATTTGTGGTAAACGCAGTACATGGTCTACTATCTGGATGAAGTTCCACCTGATAGTATCCTTGACTAAGGTCTAAATGAGAAAAATATACAGCCCCTGATAACGAATCTAGTATATCAGCAATATTGGGTAATGGAAATTTGTCATCTTGAATTTGAGTATTTAAACGTCTATAATCTATAACTACACGCCACTTTATTAGTTCGGTAGAATCTGCTTTTTTAGGTACAATTAATAAGGGTGAAGACCATTCGCTTTTGGCTTCTTCTATAATATCGTGTTTTAGCATATCATCAATTTGATGTTCAATTTCATCTCTTTGAGTATGCGGTAACCTATATGGCTTTACGTATACCGGCCTTGCATCGGCTTTCATACCTATCGTTTGTTTGTAAACATTGGTAGTCGTAAGCTTATCCCCTTTTAAGTGAAATATATCGGCATATTTTGCACACACATTTTCTATAGACCCTTAAATTTTAAAATACTTATCAATTCTTTGACTCTATTGGCCGAAACAAACTTTTTATCAAAAGAACAAATATAATAGTTTGACAAACAATGAATTTCTGGTTGTATGTTTGAAAGTGTTACTTTTTCTTCTTTTGTGTTTAATAATTTAATGGGAATTTTACCGTTATTTACATTTACTACTGAACCAGCCAGAAATACACCGTCGCAAACTTCTTTTGCCATAACCACACATTCTGCAACAAAATTTGTGGGTATGTAAAAGATTGATTCACTTCTCGGGGAGAGAACCATCACTTGATTTGATTTTGTATTATAAACCCAACCTAAAGTCACATTTTGAATTCCATTTTGTAACGACAGAGTATTATTTTTAAAATTTAAAATGCCACGATATCTATTTAAAAAGTTTTGTCCTATAATACCGTCCGATTTACATCCCAAATTCTTAAATACAAAAAAATTTTCTTTGAAACAACGCCATTTATTGTTAAATCTAATAGTACATGCCCTTCGGAAATTATATTACCACCTATTCCTGAAATAGCAATTCTTTCCTTTTAAATATAAACTCCTCTATCAAGAAACTCATACTATTTAGTCTACCACGATTTTGTCCTAGATTATTATTAAAATATCTAGGCCCACTATTTTGGTAGTGTCCTCTATTATTATTTTGATATCGGTTACGATTTGACCTATTAAATGAACCTCGCCTATTTGCATATTGAGTACCATGGCCCCGCCTATTTACTGACATTATTTGCTCATTAGTTCTAGGCAATTCTTCTTCCAGCTCTAACTGCATCTTTTAGTGAAGAAAAATTTCGAGCCGCAACGATGGTACTTAATTTGCTATTGCGTAGCCCATCTGAAAATACTTTAATCGCGTTCCGTTCATTTATTGGTTTTAAAACAGCATAGGTAGCATTATTACAATCTGCTTGGGATATAGTAAGATCTACAAACAATTCTTCCAATTCTTTACCAAATTCAGCAACTGTGTCTGATTTCCGCGTTATTAAAGGTTTTTTCATATCTTCTAAAAGCGCGCCCACCGTATCGTAAGTGCTTGCAAGTCTTATTTTCGCACCCGCCGATAATCTCGTTTTTAATACAAAATTAATCATTAGTGGCTTACCTTCTCCAGATAACATGCTACTAAACAAGTCATTTGCATCAATTAGCTGTTGAGTCTTTTCCTCAGTATCATCCATCATGGGCAAAAGACTGACAGCCAATTTTAAATCGAATGCCGACATAGTAACGTTAGTTCTAGATTCCTTTTTAACAAAATCAGCAATATTTTATAAGTTTTTAAAATTTTATCTTTTACTATCTAAACTAATTTAAAATTATCTTCCGATATTTTTACTTTTGACCCTTTTATTTGCCCAATAATTACGACCGCTTTATTGTATAATTCCCTAGCTTGACAAACCTTAGTATCTAATAAATCTTTCTTACGTCTATCGTTATTTAATTTAACTAAATTAACTTTTATATAATCTTATTTACTACAAATATTATTTAATTCATTTATATTCATAAGCTATTTCATTAATTATTTAAAATGTGCAATTTTTAGCGAAATAAATAGGTTTAAAAATGTTTACTCATCACTATGTTGTTGTCCATATTTTGCCAACCCTGCACATTCCGGGTGGACGTCATCTAAGCGAGCGTCATCTAAGGGGAGTCCTGGCCTTTGATGGTGTTGCTGCAACATTGACCTGCTCACTTCTTGTCTGATGATGCCTCTCATTTTATTTTGGCACCGCTTGTATAGCCAAAATATGAATACCAAACCCAGAATAACCATAATATTGCCCATAAACCATTCCATTTTAATATTTGTTTCAGATGATGTAAATTTATTGCCTTCACCTGTCTGAGCTGCAACTTGGATTCTTTCAGTACTGTAGACCCGACTTCCACACATGTTGACTTTTGTTCTTTTTTTTCACATATATTTTTTTTCTCTCACTTACACTATCCGACAACTGGCAGGATCGCCATGAAATGTTCACTTCTTCACTTTTGTATCTATAATTTATTTAAGTGTCTTTGTACCCAGGCTACATAATATAGACTGTCGAAAGCTATTCCTAATTAGTAACTAACCAATTAATAAAGTAGTGGGAATGAACTGCCAAATATACAATATTTGCAGTTCATTACCTTATGTTTAATACACTTACAAAATACCTAATTTCTAAGTTCAACAACCGAAGGAATTCGCTGAGCTACACACTACACTGTGTACAGTTAACAATAGCTGTTTTCAAGTAATACAAATTGGCAGCAATTGCCACGTAACAATAATTAAATAGTATTCACTAATGACGTTGCACTACATCTCCCTTTTCAAAATAATGTTCTTCATTCTGCGCATATATAACGCACATTCAAAAAGTCGTTGTTATTGGAGGTCTAATCCTAATTAATAATACCTACTTAATTTAACTATTCTATTTTAACCTATAAGCCCTAAATAAAATCTTAATACATAATAAGTCCAATATTTCCTTCCATTTTTTTTTAAATACAATACAAGGTAGTATTGCACTTTTTATGCTTATCTTATATCTAGACAATAAAATTAAACATATCAGTTAATAAGACAATAAGTTTACAATTTTGCCGACACAATTGAATCAGTTTTATTAAACAGTTGCAGTCTGTTTTTATGTTCAGTCACTATATTACCGTTTTCGTCACTAACTTTATAGTTTGCACCTTTACAGATAATTACAGAGTATGGTCCTTTATACCAGGGATCAAATTTGTTTCTATTTTCAATTTTTAACATAACTGTATCACCTGGTTTAAGGATAAGTTTTTTACTCCTCCTATCATAATCATATTTGCGATTTATTACTTTTTCGAGAAAAGCTTTAGCTCGTTTGTACGCTGTTTGCAATCTAAATAGCACTTCTTGATAATATGCATCAATATTATATAAAGGATCACTTTTTTCCAAAGATTTGTTCGAAGGGTGTGTAGCTATGGTACGTAAATGGTGTAGTATTGTAACAAAAGCTGTAGTATTTCAACCATTCATCCCAGTCAGTGTGTGTCTTATTGTCCTGTTTACATTCTAATGTATTCATTTAATACTCTGTGGTTTCGCCTATTGTTTGACTATGATGCAGTGGAAATTTTATGACTTATATTTAAAAGCTTAGAACGATTTGTGAGGATTTAATTTTTGTATTCAGTTCCCATGTCAGTTCTAATTTCTTTCATAGGCCCATAGACTAAAATAAAATAATCCACTATAGCTTTTGCAATTGTCACTGCTTCTTTATTAGGGACTGGTATGATTACTACTGTATCGTTACAGCATAAGCGTTATTTCTTTTTGTTCTTGCAAATGGACCAATTGTGTCAATACAGGTGATGTCAAAGGCTCTTTGTGGTGTTGAAGTGAGCACCATTGGCTCTATATGACCAATTTTTATTTTGTTGACATTTAGCACACGTTTTTACATATTTGGCTAGGTTTGAATCCACATGAAATAGTGGACATGTTGCATGAACGCATAGTAAAAATATAAGTAAAAATCTTAAGAGCCGTGCTTTCTCACGACCGCCCTACGAAGTTCAAAGGTAGGCGTTAGCTTCTAGCGGTTTGAGGCGGCCCATACTCGCCTGGAGAATGCTGCATGTATACTCGAGCCCCACTTCAGAACACCATGGACACAACTCGCTTTGAGTTGCTTTGTAAGCCCAAGTGCTCTTTCGGTAGGCTCATTGCAACGCGCCCAAGTGCCGCGCGCCCCGATGATCAGGGGCGTAAACTTGCAGGTCTTTCCGGGCCATTTTTTTGCTGCTGCCTCAACAAACTTGGGGTTTTGGTAAACCCCCCGCTTTCGCTCCCAGGCCGTTGTCAACCCGTCAGCTGCCTCCCAACTAACCTGAACGTCGCAGACCACAATGGTATTGTGATCTTGGTGTACGACAATGTCAGGCTTATACAACTGCCCGTCAGGATGACGGACATGGGGCTCCTCTTCCGTTTCCCAGGTCTTGCACGCATGGGCTCCAATTTTCCCGGCGACCTCGTTATGACGTCGTACCCTCTCGCCGTGCGATGCACTGCATTGCTGCAGTACGTGGGAGAGGGACTCTATGGAGTTACAGCCCGGGTTGCGACACCCACGCAGGTGCTCGGGGTTTGAGGGTATGCCCATAGTTGGAAGGACATTTGCTCTAAGCTGAACGGACATAGTCACGGCCTGTCCATCCTTTTTTGTTTTAGAGGTTTGGGGGAATGCATTACGCACGTTACCTGGCTGGTGTTCTTGCACCGGGTATGTGTGGGACTCTGATCCGTAGATCTATACCCACTAAACCCCCTTTCCTCTCTTCGTGGTTGTTCATGTCGGGGACCGCCTTTCAGCATTACTTCCGCCATGCCACGGTGCTTTACCTCCTTCGTTTTTAGGATCTGTACCATCAGTCCCGCTATTATGTCCCACTCATCCTGGGACCCCAGCATTATTTCGACGATGTCTCCTGGTGTTATCCGGTGTCCGATCGCCAACCACGCTGTCATCCTTTCCACGTGCCATTTCGGGCAGTGGAAGATGGTGTGTTCCGCTGTATCCAGGTCTCCACAGTCCCTACAGTTGGACGTATCTCTTCTGCCCTATTTGTGGAGGTACATCCCAAAGGCCCCATGTCCCGTCAGCATCTGCGTGAGGTAGTACCCCACCTCCCCATGTTTCCTGCCAACCCACTGTTCTATGTTAGGGATCAGTCTCCTCGTCCAAATCCCCACGGTCTCGCTCTCCCATCGCTCCTGCCAAGCAGTCAATGTGTGTCCCTTTGCCTGTTCCGCCCTCTCGCCTCCTGCGGCCAGGCTGGCCCTCTCTTCGGCCAGCAGGTCCATTGGGGGTACCCCCGCTACGACCATTGCGGCCGCTCCCGACACCGTTCTGTATGCCTCACATATTCGCAGGGCCATCCTCCTCTACATCCTGTTCAGTGCCTCCCGGTGCCTCTTATGGCGCAACGCCTCCACCCAGAAAGGCGCCGCGTACAGCATCTGCGACCTCCCAACGCTGCAGATCAGCCTTCTGGCGCTCGCCCTCGGGCCCCCGACATTTGGCATCAGTCTGCTGAGGCTGTTTATTGTTATGCCAGCTCTTTGTACCATTTTGGAGATGTGGACACCCATGTTCCATTCATGTCTGATCCACACCCCCAGGTACTTTTCCACGGGCTCGGGTAGGAGCCTGAGCGCATGAGCTCTGTTAGGACATCTGCTGTCCACTTTGGGGCCGCCTCCACCGCCCACTTCACCGCCTCCGGTGGGACCCCATCTGGGCCCGGGGCCTTTCCTGCCGCCAGCTTGCGGGCCGCCGCTGTGACCTCCTCTACTGTCACAGCAGGTCCCTCCTCCTGCACCTCCTCGAATCTCCTCCAGTCCACCGCTATGCTTTCCGGAAAAAAACTTTCTGGCCCACTTCACCTTCTCCTCCTGTCGCATAGGAGGGGCCCTGGCGCCCATTTTTCGAGTTACAATCTGATGTGGCTGTCAACCTCCTCGATCAGCCTTCTCCAGCAGTCGGCTTTCGACCGGAGGATTGCTACCTTCAGCTTTTTTCTAGCTGTCTTTAGCCCCGCTGTGAGCTCCTCTACCTGTTCCATGCTCGTGTTTCTCCTCCTGGCTCTGGTGATCGCCCTGCGCGCCCTGCCACTCTCCTCTCTGGCGGCTTCGATGTCCGCCGTCCACCAGTACTTAGGTTTTCGCCGTCTGCTGGTGGGCGTAGGCTTAAGTGACTGCCTGCAAGCCTCCACAATGGCCTCAATCCACACCTGGCATGCGCTCGCACCTTTTGACATCGCCTCCCTCTCCTTTATCGCCTCGACGATCTTTCCTCTATCCGAGGCTTTAGCCCGCCATCTCTGCCTTACCTCCGGTTCCGGCTCTTGGCTCCCCCCAGCGATCGTAAGGTGTATATTTCTGTTCTCCTCCTTCGACACCTGCCACTCTACACCTCTGGCATATAGAGCCGCCGACATCGCCGTCACGTCCAGGAAGGACTCCTGGGCCCCCCTCGCAAAAGTCGCAATCGTCCCATCATTAACTACGATTAACTACGACAGTGATGTCCCCAAGGCGGGCCCTCACTACCCCTTCCGCCCTACTGACCTCCGTGATCCTGGTTTTACCCAGGGCTATTATGGCCACGTCCTTTCTCTCATCCATCGCCACCCGCATGCCTTCAGCCCTGGCACGGTTTGGCTCACCTACTATGAGTAGGTCCACCCTCCTTTGTCCGGCGGTTTGCAAGGCCAGGTCCCAGGCCTCCCGACTGCGATTCTGGTTCGCCTGCATGATCCTGGTTTTGCAGTACCCCCGCTCGCCTCCAGCTTTCTCTGCTCCTACCCCGTCTTGGGTTGGGCGAGGGGTTGCCGAAAATCCTGCTCCTCCCTTGTTTTAATCGCTTTCCGTACATCTGCGCCTTCCGATGTTCGAGTGGGGCACTCGCTGGGGCACTCGCTGATCCTATGCCCCGCCCTATTACACCCTATGCAAACCGTTTCGTTCGAGCACTCCCTGGCTTTGTGGCCTGCCTTTCCACATTTAAAGCAGCACCCTGACCTGCCTGGCCCTTTGCAGTTGGCCGCCCGGTGCCCATGTTCCTGGCACCTGTAGCAGCGGTTGTCTGCTGCTGTCTCCCTTATCCTGCAGACAACCGGCCCTATCCTTATACGCCCCACTTCCACCAGCCTGTCAATTGCCCCTCTGCAGGCTGTTACCCGTACAGCCTGTGTGCGGCCGTGCGTGGTTCTCATAGCGCCCATTACCAGCTCTGCCTTCTGCGCTTCCTCTGCCCCCAGCGCTTCTTTCAGCGCCTCCCTGACCTCCTCTACCGTGGCCAGTCCGTCCATCCCTATGACCTCCGCTCTTCCGGAGCCCCTGACGGT